CTCTCTCTCTCTCTCTCTCTCTCTCTCTCTCTCTCTCTCTATCTATCTATCTATCTATCTATCTATCTATCTATCTATCTACCTACCTATCTACCTACCTATCTATCTATCTATCTATCTATCTATCTATCTCTATCTCTCTACCTCCCCGAAGCCCGTTTTTTTTCGGAGAAGACAGACCCCCTCGGTGCTGCAGGGGAGGAAGGGGCGAGCCGGGCACCATGGGGGTCCGTACCACCCCCTCGATGCCCGTAGCGCCAAGGGGGTTCGGTGTTCCGGGAACGCTGGACCCCCTTGGCGCTGCGGGGGAGGAAGGTGGTCCATCCCACCCCCTCGATGCCGCAGTACTAAGGGGGTCGGACGCTCCTGGAACGCCGGACCCCTTTGGTGCTGCCTGGGATGAAGGGGGTCCGTCCCACCCCCTCGATGCCCACAGCACCAAGGGGGTCCAGCGTTCCCGGAACGTCGGACCCTTTTGGTGCTGTGGGGGATGAAGCGGGTCCGTCCCACCCCCTCGTTCCCGGAACGCTGGACCCCCCTGGTCCTGCGGGGGAGGGAGGGGGTCCGTCCCACCCCCTCGATGCCCGCAGCACCAAGGGGCTCAAGCATTCCAGGAACGCCGGACCCCCTAGGTGTTGCGGGGGAGGAGGGAGTCCGTCCCACCCCCCCGGTGGCCACAGCACCTTGGTGGTGTGGGGGAGGAAAGTGATCCGTCCCGCACCCTCTCTACCCGCATCGCCAAGGGGGTTCAGCATTCCCGGAACGCCGGGCCCCCTTCTTGCTGCGGGGGAGGAGGGGGTCCGCCCCGCCCCCTCGGTGGCCACGGCACCTTCGTGCTGCGGGGGAGGAAGGGGGTCCGTCTCGCCCCCTCGATGGCCACAGCACCTTGATGTTGTGAGGCAGGAATGGGGTCCGTCCCCCCCCCTCGATGGCCACAGCACCAAGGGGTTTCGGCGGTCCCGCCGCCTCGGTGGCCACGGCACCTTTGTGTTGCAGGGGAGGAAGGGGGTCCGTCCCGCCCCCTCGATGGCCACAGCACCTTGATGTTGTGAGGGAGGAATGGGGTTCGTCCCGCCCCCTCGATGGCCACAACACCAAGGGGTTCCGGCGTTCCCGGAACGCTAGACCCCCTTCGTGCTGCGGGGGAGGAAGGGGGTCCGTCCCGCCCCCCTCGATGGCCACAGCACCAAGGGGTTCCGGCGTTCCCGTCCCAATTCATCGCTGGCCTGAAACAACGAGAGGGGCCGGCGTTCCCGGAATGCCGGACCCCCCTTCGTGATGCGGAAAGGGAGGGGTTCTGTCCTGCCACCTCTCTCT